TATCTAACATCTATACATTAAAACTCCAAGAATTAAGGTTCTGTATATCATTGTATTTGTTTTTCTTGACCAACAGTGGCTTCAAAGGTATTTGGTTTATCTCATCTGATGTTATGTTTGTGGTAATTACCACAAATATAACTTCAGGATATGTGTTTTATATATAAAGGATATTTTACATGATTTTAGCGGCGACAGTAGTGGATCTGTTTGTGATATTGATTAAAATTTTCTTAAATATTCTGCCACTTGTATTTGAATTGCACTGTACTCTGTCTACATCATCATCATCATCATCATCTTGGTGCTACAGCCCTTAGAAGGCCTCGACCTTCTCAAGCTTTCTACGCCATTCTGTTCTGTCCCTTGCTAGCATTTTCCAGTTGCCGACTCCGATCTATGATCCAGTTGAGCCCGGGCTACATGTACTGAGCAGGCGGTTTCGCTTAGTTATAGTGGTAATATCTTTACCACCAAATGTATGCTTGTAGATATTCTGCAGTTCAAAGTTATATCTACGCCTCCATATTCCGTTCTCACAGACCGCTCCGAATATCTTGCGTAGCACTTTTCTTTCAAAGCGGATTCATCTGGTTTCGTTAGCGTCCATGCCTCTGATCCATATGTGAGAACGGGGACTATCAGTGTTCTATACAGCCTTATACGAGTTTTTTGAGACAGACGTTTGTTAGCTAACGTTAATCAAAGTACTTTGATAGACCATGATAACACCTGTTTGCAATTATTATTCGCCTTTTTATTTCCTCAGATGTGTTATTATTGGGGTTAACCGATGTCCCTAGATATATGAACTCTTTGACTACTTCGAAGTTTTGGTCATTGATGATTAAATTTGTGTCAACATTTCCAGCTCTTGTGTTTGTGTTAGTCGCCATGAATTTGGTTTTATTTTGATTTATATGTAACCCCATTCGTTCTGCTGCTGCTACTAGCTCGGTTAGGATTTCCGCAGTTCTCGCCCTAGTTCTTGTTATAATGTCCAC